GGACTGGGTTGGGATGGGATGGTTTCCCAATGTTCAATTGCTTTTGTGTATAAATCTCTTTCTTATACACAGACGTGTGTCCATGGATTTGTTTCTTCAGTCTACCCAGGCTAACACAGAATTAATCAGTCCCACGGTGAAGCTTCATCTTGCTTACTTTAGCCATGTCACCAAGAAAGAGTGATCCTTAGAAATAGGCACCTGGTTTGGTAAAGGGTCAATAAAAACAAAGGGCCCCCTCCATGGACAAGGCCCCCCTGAAACAGTGGATTTATGGCAGGGCGAAGGGAAGAAGCAGCTGGTGCCTCAGACATGCACACCAAAGACCGCGAAGCTGCTGCTGGATCTGCCAACCTTTCGTTCTATGACCAGTCAGGTCTCATGAACTGGCTCAAGGCAACTAACCGCAACGGGCAGTTGCACATTGCTACCCAGGAAGGGGAGAGAGACACGGTTTCGATTCAAGGAGGTTCCCTCTGGAAGGACAGTGATAGGCCAAGACTCCCAGAGGAGCCACTAAGAGACTCCCAGTTACCTGACAAGCCTGCCGGATCCGACAGAAACTCCTCAGAGTGTAAGGGAAACCCTCTCAGGTTGGGCACTGGCACTTTTGCAGTTGCCCAAATTTTTAGGATGGGATCCCCTGAGAGCGGTGATTTGGACAGAAACGAGCCCTCTGCTGCAAAGAGCTGTGTGTGACAGGCTGTCACCAAGGGGTAAAGTGGTATTTGTGGAAGCTAAGGAAGCAGACCTAGCAACCTCGCTGGAAAACTGTCCGGCACTTCCTGTCCCAAGCAAGGACAGGGGTTGGATGGAGTTTGGGCTTCCCTCACAGCCCCAAGAGAGCCAACCTCTGGGTCTGTGCCGGTGCCAGTGCACCTACCCAGTATATAAGCAACAGGCCTCCCTAGCCCCAGTCAGGGGGATTGGGGTGGTAGGGACAAGCAGAGAGGACCACTCGTCTCTAACCAAAGGAACAGATGTGGAGGGCCACCAACGAAACCAGAAGGTGGGCAGCCGCTGGGCTTGGCTCCGGGACCCTTCCAGCCTTAACTTAATCCGGGTTGCAGGTAGACAGTGGCTTCTGATGGGCCCAGCTCTCTCGAAGACTTGGATCTCTTTGGCTAAGAGTAAACTGTGTCCCTGTGATGTCTAAAGGCTGGGAGGGTGGGCAATCACATTCCCAGTTAGCCTCCTGGGGCTCAGCCCTGATGGCCTCTCCCAAGAATGGCCATAGGTTTGGTTTGGTTTTCGTTTGTGCTCTGGGGTCTTCCTGAATCTTTCTGATTAAGGTCTTCAGGAAAGGGTTTGGAAAGACCCTGGGAGCTAAAGTGGTCAGGCCCTCAGCTCCTCACCATAGGCTAGGGGTGCGGAGCCACCTGGAGGGGTCTTGGAGAAAAGGCCTGGTGATTTGTTTCTGGAAGATCACTGCCACAAATATTCTGTGGCGTGCACTTCTACCCTGTGAGCAATGGGGCTCCGTGAGCTGGAATGGACTTGACAGCCACAGGTTAAAAACAAAACCCCAAACCCCAACTCACTGCCATGGAGCCCATGCTGACTCACGGAGACCCTATAGGCCAGGGCAGAACTGCTCTTGTGAGTTTATGAGAGGGTCACTCTTTACAGGAGTAGAAAGTCCCACCTTTCTTCAGAGGAGAAGCTGGTGGTTTCGAACTGCTGACCTTTTGGATGGCAGCTGGATGTGTAACCACTATGCCACCCGGGTTAAGAGTCTAGATAGGGCCAACGTGGAAGTTGGTTTCTGAGGCTGTTTATCAGGACCCTGCAGTGCCTGGTCTTTGCCTTTGACTGGGAAGTACCCGTGGCTTCAGACCCTTCTGGTTTGGCTGGTGGGCCTCCCTCAGCCAGTCTTCCCCAGGCTCCTGTGTGGTGTTAGCCAGCCCTCCCACCCCTTCCTTCCTTGCTTGGGCCCTTTCTGAGTACGAAGACCAGCCTGAAAGCAGTTTCCTTTCCTCACAGAGTCTCAGGGGAAGGATTAATTCTCAGAGTCCACTAGGACCCCTGGAGCCTACCAGGAGCTGGAGGGAAACCCTGTCCTGAAAGGTCACTCGATGCCTGGTGCAGCCACGGGTAGGCACTTGTGCAAGGGTCTTAACTGCCACCTGTGTGGACAGTAAGGAGCTAAGTCGCTCCATTCAAGGCCATGAGTATTGTCGACGACCCCCCAGGGCTGCGCACAGAGCACCACCACAAGTGGGCAGCATGAAGCAGCAGGAAAGTCCTCTCAGGGTTTCAGGGGCTGAAAGTCTGAGGGCAGGACAATGACTCCAGGAGAAGGCCGTTTTCTCTGCTGGTTCTTGGGCCAGGTCCTGGTCTCTCTCCAGCTTCTTCTCCTCTGTTAGGCAGAGCCCTGGCAGCATAGTGATTACGAGTCGATTGCTAATCAAAAGGTCGGCACTTCAGAACCACCAACCACCAACCTTGTGAGAAAGGCGAGGCTTTCTACTCCCGTGGAGCGTTCCAGTCTTGGAAGCCCACGGGGCAGTTCTACTCTGCCCTCTGGGGTTGCCATGAGTGAGGATAGACAAGCTGGCGGTAAGTTTGAGTTGGAGTCTTCTGTTAGGAAGGCCTGGGAGTGGAAGGGTTAGGTGGCTAACTGACACCTTGACTACTTCAAACTGACTCAGGAGTGCTGTGAAAGAAAGACCCGGTGATGCATTTAGAGAACGATTACAACCCAGAAAACTCACGGGATAGTGCCACTCTGCCCCCCGGGGTTGCCATGAGTCAGAATCGACCTGATTGCACTGAACAGCAACATTCGTGGGTCCCTTGGTGAGGGTTGGTGGTTTTGAACTGCCGACCTTTTGGTTAGCAGCCCAACTCATAATCACTATGCCACCAGGGCTCCGCCTAACAGAGGAGTAGAAGCTGGAGAGAGACTAGGACCTGCCCCAAGAACCAGCGGAGAAAGGGGCCTTCTCCTAGAGTCAGTGTCCTGCCGTTTGGCTTCCCTCTAAACTGCTTCCCTCATCGAAACTTGCTTCTGTGCTGAATCGGCCCCTGGTGTATTTTGAGAGGCGCTCTGCTGCTGCTGCTGCTGCTGCTGCCTAAGCGCGGGACCCACCACGCTCTCCCAGGAAGAAAGACGAAGCTGCCTACTGTAACTGTGCACCGGCTTGGAAACCCACAGGGTGTTTCTACAATGGACTGGATGGGAGTGAGAATGAGGGGGTGATTTATTGAGTTTTTATATCTATTGGTTTAAAACACACCCTGCACTGATAGGGGTTCACTATCAAAACAAAGGAAGTCCTCAACTTAACAGAACACAGACCCCACCCCACCCCTTCTCCTCTCACTGCCATAGAGCCCACGCTGACCCACAGCAACCCTTGGTGGGTCTCTGAGACTGTAGATGTTTATGACTGCAGAAAGTCCAGTCTTTCTTCCAAGGAGCTGCTGGTGAAGACCCACAAAGATGCCCCAAATCTGTTATGCAGTGGATTCTGCTCACAGTGACCCTCCTGGACAGAGCAGAACTGCCCCATGAGCTTTTTCCTAAGGTTATGCTTTTTTAGGGAAACAGATGGCCAGTTCTGCCCAACAGAGAGGCTTGTGGCTTCAAACCATTGACTTTCTGGTCCCCAGCCCCATGGCCAACCACTGCACCCCCCTGGCTCTCCGTCCGCGTGGTTAGGTGTTTGGACTCTAACATATTTGGGGAGGGGCACAATGCAATCCACAGCTGCGCGGTGGGGAGAACTTTCCAGGGCTCCTTCTTTCGTTTAGCCGTGGAAACAACTAGCACGGCTTTCGGGAGGAGCCAGAAGACACACCGCTTCTTGAAACTGTGAACAAGGTGATTCCAAGAAGGCCTCTTTTCCATAGAGTTTAGGCAAAGCAGTCATTCGCTCCCCTCTTCCTCAATGCATACATTCTCCAAGCACTCACAGGATCAGATGCAGCAGGTTTGAAGGGGAGCTGGAAGTAGCCCTTCTCTTCAAGGAACTAATACACTGTGCAGGAGGGGCATGTGTCGGGAGAGACGTTCTTGTCAGCCATACAGCTGCCCTATTGGGATTCCCCATCAGAAATCTTGATGGGGGCAGCTCCCCAGGTCTGTTCTCCCCAGAGCTGTGCCAGTGGGTTCAAACTGCCAACTTTTCCATTAGCAACGAAGCACTTAACCACTGTCTCCCCAGGGCTCTTTAGCAAGGCTAAAATATTACATAAAATGCTACTGTCACTTAGCTACCTCTGTGGACTTTCTAAGAGGCAGAACAGGAGGAAAGTGTGTGTGCATGCGCTTGTGCGTTGTTTATCCATACAGTGGTCCCTGTTGTTCATACTCAACCAGACGCCCTAAGGCATGGGAAACATCGGACTCAAACCAGAGACACAGGCCAGGCCAGCTTCGCTGTCCTGAGGCAAGCTGCGATTATGTGGAAAAGTCAACATCGAAGAACAGTCACTAAATGGAATGCTTATTGGAAAAATGTTTCATTGTGTTGAGAACAAGGGTGGAGCCGCCACTGTGTAGCAGAATGGGACTCTTTGCAAGGCCCAGTTCGAGAGGCTAGCTGAACTTCTCACTGTGTCATTGAGGCCACCCACCCAGTCATTCATCAGAGTCAAAGCATCATTGAATGGAAAAGTTGGGAGACTGGAGTGATAGAATGGCTCACAGTGACTGTACTATTGAACTAGACTATGCTTGCAGCCAAGCAAAAGGCTAGACTCGGAGATGAAACGCCATTCATTGCACCATGATGTCGGGTTCAGTGGGTGCGTTCCCTTTAAGGGTTCAGTCTCAGCCCCCAGTTCCGCTCAAGCTTTTTAATGCACGGAGTTCTTAGGAGTCTGGTAGATGCAACCTGCTTCTCAACTCTTTATGATAGCAGAGCTTTGAACCGGTAGAGTCTCTTACAAGAGAACCAAGATGGGCCAGGATGAGAAGATGGCCCACCGTTTGACAAGGGAGGGGCCCCGGTACCCACCAGGAGCACTGCCATGCTGCCGTGAGCCATGCTTACCTCTGAGCTGTTGATCCGGCCCTCCTGGAAGGAGCAGGTGGTGGGGTCATGCGTGCACAGGTTGCGGTACTTGCACCAATGGCAGTGGAAGGCGCTGTTGACACAGGACAGGCAGCTGCAAGGAGAGGTTGAGTCAGAGACCACACGAAGGGCATGAAGAGGGAAGGTGGGGCAGGTTTGACAGCCCAGATGCCCTCATGGATGTCTGTTATCTTGCACTTAAATCCTGGGCCACAGCCCCAGGAGGGCACAACATCATGTATTCTCTATCCAAGATGGCCATTTGACCGGACAATGAGGACAACACTGCCCCCAGAAGGGGATTAAAGGAATTACAACATGGTGACGTGCTGCTGGACCTGGCCTGCCCCCGGTTCCTGAGAGTCAATTATTTCACAAGCCTGTAGAGATCTCGTGGGAACTTGACATTGGCCGAGTCCGGGTCGCACAGTGGTTAGAGCCCCATGCTCGGCTGCTATTGAACCCCTAAGCTGCTCTAGGTAGGAGGGAGAACGTGGTGGCAGTCTACTTCTGTGCAGATGGACAGGAAGGAAACCTCACAGGCTGGAGTCGGGGCACTTCTACTCTACCTGTCAGAATGGACTTGACAGCCATGGATGTGTTCATTTTGCATGTGTGCGTGTGTGTGTGTGTGTGTGTGTGTGTGTGTGTGTGTGTGTGTGTGTTTAGGGTATTTCTACTATAGAACTTGGCAAATGCTACCAACTGGTCTTCCTCCCGTAAAGCTGGTAGTTAAACAATAACCAGCACAGCACTATGCTAAGCTGCAAAACAGAATATCCGAGAGAGCACAGGGCTAGGGGGCAGATCTGACCCCATCCCTGCCTCTGCTAATGCCACCGGGGTCACCCGGAGCCAGTCACTCCACCCTCTTGATTAGAGTGTCTCTGCTGAACCAGAGTAAGACAACACTTATTCTTCTGCTTCACTGGGCTGTTCCATGTCACACGAGGTAACATCCCGGATGTGGCTTTGAAAAGGGCAATGCTGAACGTGCATGTTATTTCCAACTACTTCACCCCACCAAAAATATATGCCCGAACCCCCTATCATCAAGTCAATTCCCACTCAGAGGGACCCTACAGGGCAGACGAGCACCGCCCCACCAGGTTTCTGGGGCGAAAGCCTGTGCAGAAGCATTCTGCCACATCTTCCTTTCCCCTGCAGGGAGCTGGTGGCTTTGAACCACCCACCTGGTTAGCAGCGAGTGCTTAGTACGGCACCTGCAGGGCTCCTCCAGGCACAGAAGTTACTTGCTCTATCTGAATGTTAATGCTGGTTCACATCACCTGTCTTGCTGGGTTTTGGTGGAGTAAGAACATGTCGCCTGAACTGTTGCCGGACTCTCCTGGGAGTCCAGGCTGGGAACAACAGTAAAGGTTTGTGGCACCTGCCCTAGTGGGCTTCCTTGCAGGTGAGGTGGCAGTGCCTCTCTCCCTTCAGTTTCCCCTGGAGGCTCTGTCTGTTGTTTTGCCACTCTCTCAGGGTGTGATCAGAGAGGAGGCCTGATGGTGTAGTCATTATGTGTTGGGCTGCTAACCACGAGGTCGGCAGTTCGAAACCACTAGCAGCTCTGAGGGAAGCAGGGGAGGCTTTCTATTCCCGTAAAGAGTCTCAGAAACCGGCAGGGGAAGTTCTACCTGCTCTCTGAATCTGCATCCACTCGACAGCAGAGTGTGGCTTGGGTTCAGTGTGTGATCGCACTGCTGTAATGGACATGGGGCTGGCCCTCCTTTTCCTTGACAGGTCCTCCGGGTTAGCATCCACAGGAGACCAATGGGGAGAAACCTGAGCCTGGTCTACAATCTGCCGCCACCTAGTGGGGGGACTGACTACACTTGGGTAGATGGGGTTGCTGTTCATTGGCCTGGAACCAGGAGGTATCGGTTGGTTAATCAGCCATTGTGTACTGGGTGGGTGTATTAACCCATCTACACATGGACTCTCCAATCTGTCTGGTTCCAGCTAATTGTAATTCAGCCTAGCAAGTGATTGGAGTCCCAGGGAGATGCAAATGTGTAACCTGCTCAGCTGTGAACTGAAAGCTTGGGGCCTGGGTCCACCCAGAGGCACCTCAGAAGAGAAGCCTGGTGATCTGCATTGGAAAGGCCAACCCCGGAAAGCCCCCCATGGCGCGGTTACAGTCTGACACACGTGGGGCGGCTGTGAGCTGGGACTGACCTGGCAACGACTGGTGACCTATGAACAGTGAAAATGACCCAAGGGCCAGGAGACTGGGGCTCCCGACCTGCTCTTCCCTGTACTGGCTTTGTGACTTCAGTCTCAAAGCCTCTCTCCTGCGGGGCCTCAGCTTCCCACGTCCAAAGAAGGGGCTGGAGCTCAACTCTGTCTCGGTCTACTGAGTGCCATCAGAGCAGGGTGAGGATGTGTTTGGCTACAGAATGGGATCTTTGGTGTTAAGGAGATCGGCTTTGTTATTTTTCTAAAACTTGCTGCCTGTGACAGCATCTGTGTTGCCATAGCAATGCATCATGGAAAGGGGTGACGTCATACGGCATCACCATGGAAACCACAGAAACAATGATGCTCTCATAAACAATGGAGCCCATCACCACAGTGCTGGCATCTGGAGGGAGGGTGGAAGGCTCTCTCCCCAAGTTGATTGCAATTCCCCAAGCAGGATTGACTGCGATTAGAAGCCGGTGGCTAAACCACTTACTACTCTAGTTCCTGCCAGGCCACTTTTATCATTGGTTCTGCCTCTCTTGGCACGTCTATCCACTCTGGGACCTTGCGTAGGGACCTTAGAACTGCAGCATTAAAACCAAGACCAGAGAAGGAAGACCAAAGAGATGGAGTGGCTGATTGGTTTGCTTTAAAGGGGAAAGGTTTATTTAGGGCTTAGCTGCCCAGAGACTCCCTCTCTCCCTTCATGGCTGTGCCCATCATACCTACAGTGTGGATGCTGTGGGCTGGCACCTTTGGAGTTTTCTCTATTCTCTCGACCTCGGGTGGTTCCTGTCCCGGCTGGGTCCCTGGGCTAGTCCCAGTTTTCACTCCCTTGGGCTTGGAGCCACTCCTTGATGTCTCTCTTTGCTGAATGGCCAGGGACACTCGTCTCATGACCTTTCCATGGCTCCCTCGTAGGGACCCTTGTTTACTTTTTTAAACCAAATGGTGCATGAGGTCCCAGCTTTGGTGGAAGGAGTGGCCATTTCTCTTCCAGAAAGATTCAGCGTCAACGAAGGCCCAGATGGCTCGCTCTCCTCCACTCCCTGCCCTGCTTCGTACTCAGGAAAGGCCTGCTGTAAGCTCCACAGTCCTGTAAGACCCTGCCCACCCAATGCAAGCGCTCAGCTGCTAGGGTGGCTGGTGGTCAGTTGGCTGGGCCCAAGCCCCTCTGGAGTGGTTTGGTCGGGCTTCTTCCTGCTCTTCAAAAAGTTGAGGATTGGTTTAAATAACAGGTTGGCACCAAGGCCTCCTCTCTCTTCCTCTTCCAGCCTGGGCTCTTTCATTGTATCTTGAGAGGCCAGACCCCTACCCTCCCTCTACGCATAAGGAATGGTCTACAAAGCTGCCTCTTTGCCTCTGAGACCCTCTTCATTTGGTCGTGGGGATCAATCCAGAGTCCACTCACTGTCAGACTTTGCCTTCAAAGCCACCAGCAGTGGGTGTAGGACAGAGAACTTTTCTAAGGTCCCTGGGTCCGCACCTATTGTCTTTCTTCAAATCCTCCTTTCACTGTCTCGGCTTGAGAGCTCGGGGTAGACTGTGGATGGGAGTGTGTGTGTGCATGCTGGGAGGGTGGGGGCGGGTGTCAAGGAAGGCTGGGTGAGATCAGAGGCCGTGGAGAGTGAGTGCCGTCTAGTTTGATCCAGTAGATCTAAGGAGGGCATGAGTTGGCATCCACTCTGTGGCAGAAGGCCTGGCTTCCTAATTCTCCAGTGTTCCGCTGGTCACTGTGCCAGGACCCCTGGAGAAACCGAGAAGATTAAGGCACGGTTCCTGTCTCAAGAGACCAAGGAGTCATGGAGGAGAGCCACATGCTCACAGACAGACCCAGGGCCAGACTCTTTCTGATAGGTGCTTACAGCTGGTGGGCGCTGCAGTTGTAGAACTTGAACTCGGTGCTGACGAAAATCTTCCCCGTCTCCTTGGATCTCAGCTGCAGTTCTAGCCCAAACCAGTCTGGAGAAAGAAATGACAAGGGAGGAGGTGACAGCCTGCAGCACCCAGAGTGGATGGGACCACATGAATCCTCTCTTCTCCTCCCCAAAGAACTCCTTTGGCTCCACCAAGCCCTCAGACCCAGACAGCTGGGAGAGAATAGCCAGGCAGACCCCACAGAGCCCCTTGCCTGGGTCAGGTACACTCAGACACTGAACGACATTCCGGGCTATGAGGCTGGTCCCCCACCCCCTGAGAACCCACTGAACCCTTCGCCCCTAAACCCACCAAACACTGAACCATTCCCATGTTCTGAAGGGGTGAGAAATCTGGTAAGACTGCAGCCTCCACTCACAAGGGGGCAAAGGTCCTCTGGCTTCCTGAATTTCACTCTGGGAAACGTGGTTTGCTTCCAAGCCCTAACCAATCCCTTACGTTCTTCTTCATGCCTGGCCTAAGAGAGCTCGGTGGGGTCACTTCAGAGCCTGCCCTTGCCCAGTCCTCAGCAACTGGCATCAGAGCAAGGTCACACGAGACACGCACGAGGGAATGGGGACACTTCTTACCTTGATCCAGAGGGATGACAGGGACATCCTTGGGTCCAGGGGACATGCAGATGACCTGGTTCCCAGTCACCTGCCCCTCTACCTCTGTCAGGTTTCCAAAGGCACAGGAGACTCCCATGGACAGGTCGGGAGCATCGCTCACAACCAGGCTGAGCTGTGGGTGCAGGACAGAGGCTCAGGAGAAAAAGGGACTGGGCAGCAGAGGAGGACTGGAGGCCTGGCTTCCCAGGCTGACCCTGCCGCCACCTGCTTCCTCTGTAACCTCCCCAACCTCATTCGTAAGCACAGGCGCACGCTCATCTGGGCTGCCTTCTACCTCTGACACTCCGCATTCTCAGAGCAGCTGGCTAGTGGATGCACCGTGCCTGTTGCCAGGGGCCCTCAGGCCCACTCCGGGCCATGGTCAGAGCAGAACCGGGCCCCGTAGGTTTTCTGTGGCAGACTTTTCCAAGGTGGACCACCAGGCTTTTCTTCCAAGGTGCCTCTGGGTGAACTCAGACCTCCCACTTTTCAGTTAGCCCCTAAATGGGTTAACCATGTGCAGCGTGTAGGGACCCCACCTGTGTGATGAGCCAACACTACTTATTTGTTTGTTTGTTTCTCAGCCTCTGGCGGGGAGGGTCACTAGTAGGAAAGTGACCCAAATTCACCTCAGATCCTGCCCATTTTTGACATGACACAGCGAGCATTCATTGCAAGGGACCATGCAAATCTGAAAGCCAACCAAAAGCTGTGCCCACAAGACACAGGCATCGGTCTGGGCTCAGGGAGCATGAGTGCCATTGGTCTGGAGCGTTACCAGGCCTGGTGCACCAGTTCCTCACTCTGGCTGGGCACCAGCGCTGTCTCCCGAGTTGGTGGGACTCTCAGCGTCTGCTGCTCAGGTCCTGCGCTGTTTGTTCTCTGCTCACTAGAGTGGGGCGGTAGGGTCACGAGAGGCTTCAGGGGTCAGAGAAAGGCTGGGCAGTGGACAACAAGGACTCAGACGATGTCTGCAGTCACCCGTGGATTCCAGTGACGGAAGCCAGTGGTGCCCAGTCTTTTCAAGTCTTAAGACTCTCCTTTGAATGGCAACACAGGCCCAGACTCCCAGGAGACTGCTGATGGAGAAACGACCCAGAGGCAAAAGCCTGCTCCTAATCTGAGCACTGTTCTCTGAGTTTATGCATATGTCAAAGGGAGTCCTGGTGGCCCAGAGGCTAAGCATTTGGCTACTGACCCAAAGGACGGCCAGGACCCCATCTGCTGCTTTGTGGGAGCCACGGCTTCTGGCCAGGTTACAGCCTTGGAAACCCCATGGGGCAGTGCTGCTCTGGCCTGCAGGGGGGGGCATCGCCTGGATGGCAGTGGGGTTGTGGGTATTTACAACTATAGGTGAGCGATGTAACTGAGCCCATCAGCCAGTGGGGAGAGCCAGGGAAGGCTCATGGTGAGAACAACGCTGTGGCCTCACCTGTGGGGCGCACCTAGACAGGGCTCCCTTTGCTGCCTTCTCAACCCCAGCAGCGCTGGTCTGCAGTGGGCTTCCCAGTCCCCATGGGTATTACATGGTTTCCTCATACATTTGTCTGCACCACTTTGGTTTCCAGGAGGCCAAGCGACATAGACACAAAATCCCGTTTGTTGCCTCAGTGCTGAACATCCCCGCCCCCCACTGTCCCCCCTTACGGGTGGTAAAGAATGAAGCAAGAATCACGGAAGGTCCACTAATTAACATTTGTGGATGCTCATAAAACCTTCGGAATGAAATAGTGTAGAGCCTAAGGACATGAAATATTTTGGGTTGTATCTTGACAGTTGGTTAAGGGATATTTTATTCTCTCTGTCACACACACACACACACACACACACACACACACACACGCAACACACCCGGGCTTCCCTGGGGGAGGCAGCAATGGGGGGACTGCACGCGCAGCACATCACTTAGGCGGTGTGCTTGGCGTGGTGTTGGGGCTGCGTGCGGGGCGCTGTGTGGGAGCGGGTGGCAGCGTCGATGCCTGTTATTAAATGCGAGCTCCGCATTTACAATGCAGATCAATGAGTGATGAATTTGCAGGGAGCTTGGAAAGCGACCGACTACTCCCGTCTACAATAGGAGTCACGATAGGTTTTCTATAAATGTGAGGGTGTGCAACATTTACCATCTAATCGATTTACAAATCCCCCGCGCACGTGCTGAGCTGAAGGAACACACCCACACGTGTGCGCGTGCTCCCCGCTCCTCCTCACGGAGTTACTTACCAGGCGGCTGTGCTCAGACACGGAGATGCTGCCGGGATGCACAGCGAGGCTCAAGCACTGGCCCAGGCTGGCAGCAAATCGATTCGGCTCCCGGGCTCGTTGGCACTTGTCCCTGCGGGAGCACCTGCCGAAAACACAGGTTCACAGGAGATCAGGCCTCTGAGCCGAGCCTGTCCGGCTCCGCTGCCCCTTGGGAATGTATTAAAGAGGGGCCTACTCTCCCCAGTCTCATTACAACTTCCATGGCGTTTCCGCAGCTTTTTTGACTCCCAGGCCGACTCCATGGCAGCTCAGGGCAGACTAGGAGGAGTCTTGCTCCCATCAAGTTCATGCATGAAAACCATTGGTGGTGCTGGGTGCCGTGGTGTGGAGTGAGACTCACAGGCCCCTGTGTGGCAGAGTGGAACTGCCCCGCAGGGTTTTGTAGGGTGTGATCCTCATAGGAGCAGATGGTCCTGGCTCTCTCCCATGGAACTGCGGGGCAGGTTCAAACTGCCCACCTTGAGGTTAGTAGCTCCGTGCTTAACCATCTGTGCCACCAGGGTTTCGATTCACTTAGAGACTCACCTTTGGGAAAACTGGAGTGGGTCTGGGGAGGGTGTGATGGTGAGATGAGTGAGGGAAGTCTGGGGACACGGACAGGTCATCTGAGAAGAGGCTGAGAAGAGGAACTTTGGTTCATAAGTTGCCTTGTTCTAACCTCTACTGTATTACCTACAAGCCTTGGCTCGTTAGGAAAGTGACTTGAATCACTCTGAGCCTCAGTTCCCTCCACTGTAAAGTGGGATGAGGAGGAGGAGGAGGAGGAGAACACCCTGGCTCACAGGGCTGACGCAAGGACGGAAGGCGTTACAGCTTGGGCAATGGCTGGGTGGTGTCTCAGTGTTGGTCCATTTCGGACTCCCACTGATGGTCAATCAGATCAAGAGTCTCCTGCAGAGGGATGGAAGGGAGCAGGAAGGGTCATAGCGATGCGGGACAAGCGTGCACATATCATTGTGGCTGGATGAATGGCTCTTTGAAGGCTGGAGCCATGTTTTATTCATTGGGATGTCCTACCTGTCACATGGTGTGTTTTAAATAAGTGTTTGTGGTGTGAAATAATGCCTGGAGACAGAGACAGACAAGGAGGCGCGGCCAGGGCTGCCTCTGTCAGAAAGCTGCGTGGCTGCTTCTCCGACATCTCCATCCCTGGCTCCAGGCTCCTCCACCCACTGGGGCAGGTGGGCCTGGCGATACCTGCCCATAGGAGCCCCTGGCCACTGCCTGCCGTGTCACTCAGACAGCAGCCCCAGGGGCTGGTCCTACTCCAAACCTAACAGCCACCAGGGCACGAAGCGACTGCACAATGAAGCAGTGATTCGGACACCGGTTCCCCCAGGCCCCTCCCCGCCATCCTTTCCAGGCCCATAATGGATCTAAATATGAATGCTGTCAAAGAAAAGAATTATGGAGGTTTAAGTGAACCCTTAAGATAGCTCTAAAGTGAGCTCTTGACTGGAGCCTTTATCTCATTGACTCGCTGAAATGGCTCTTTTTTATCATACTATTTATGGCAACAGTCCTAACAGAGATAAATAGCCTCTCAGACAATAACACACTTGCGAGAGCAAGGCACACAGAAGAGACAGGAGGTTTCAAATCCCTCCTTTCCCCACCCCCAGACCCAGAGGCTCTCCAGCAAGCTCCCTCAGCCCAGCGGGGTCTCCGGCAGTTTGTCTTGCGTGGCATGTGGGCCTGGCATCTCCTCATTCCCCGTTAACATGGCAGGGTGGTGGTGGCTCTGTGGGAGGGCATGACAGGAGGGCCCAGGGAGGGGAGAAGGGCCTGGAAGGGAGAAATTGCTGGATGTAAACAGAACCCGCCTCCCCCCACTGACTCCCCATGTGCTCTCCAGGGGCAGAGAGGCTGGAAGGAGCGGGCTGTCCGGCCAGGGAGAAGAGTTCTCTGGCACTAGGTAGGTAGTTCAGGGGGCAGAGGAAATGGGGACTATTCTGATGTCGGCAGACCTGAACCAGGTGGGTGATGGGAGTGGTCTGGAGCAGTCAGGGATGTGGAGGAGACTCCGAGATTTATAGGTGTTTCTGGAAGTCCAGGCAAGCAGACGCTCTTGATATCGAGTGAGCGCCCAACCCAATCTATGCTTTTAGACCGTTCTACATTCTAGAAGTTTCTGCAGGCACCGGAGCTGGGAGGGTGGCGTGGATGGAATGGCGGCTCCATTTAGACAGGGTGGCTCAGACACCCTTCCCCGAGGCAAGGTGGGGCTGTGGGATTCTTGAAGGAAAGCACTGGCCCTGCGGAGAGAGCTGGCCCGTGGGGAGGCTAGTCTTCAGGAAGGACACCCCTGGGTACCCACAGTCACCATGCCTGGTGTGGTGTCGGCAGCCTCGTGGCCAATTGTCTGGCCTACATGGAAACGTGCTGTCTGGTGGTTGGTAAGAGCATGTGTGGGAAAGTTTTTGAGGTGCCGCATACCTCCCAACCCAAGCTGGAAGTGCAGCATTCAGTGGCTCCAATCCAGTCCAGATTTTGCATCTGCAAGGCGCCTCCCTCCCTCCCTCCCTCCTTCCCTCCAAGCCCTCCAGACACCTGCTACAGAGGCTGGAAGCCAAGAGCTATTGTGTAGGACCCTGAACCCTGGCCCTCTGCCTCCGCCTCCACCCCAAAACGGGTGCATTTCACAGAGATGCTCGGCGGGCTGGCCCTGAGCCATGGGGTTTCCATCTCCAGCGGGCAACTGAATTCCTCGCCAGCTCAGGCCTTTTGGGTTTTCACCCTTTCTCTCCCTCTGGGCCTCCAGGAATTAGGAAGTGTAAGTGTGATTTTGCATTTCTATTGAGCTGGTATTCAATGGCAGGCGATGTATCTGAATAGGCATGGGAAGCCGGCGTGGACTTCTTGGAATCATAAAATAATGAGGGCAGAAGGGCCCTCCCCGGGGTACAGAGCCCACAATAATTATTTTGATTTGTGTCGCCTTTTCTGGGCTTCCTTATTTCCAAAGCATTTATTATTCCATTTAAGCTTCTCAATTCACCTGCGAGGAAGCCATGCCCCCATTCGGTGGCGGGGAGCCAGGGTCTGGAGTTGCCAGTGGGTTCCTCCAGGGCCACACACAGCAGCTAACTGGAACCCCCACCTCCAAACCCTGGGCTCAGCCCTCTGCACGCTCTGGGCCGGACTGAGAAGGCTCCTGAGAAACGTGGGGATCCACCCCCATCCCCACCCCCCAGGTCCTCCTGTGGGTCCCTCCAGCCATGCTACCCTTCCCTGTACTGACAGGGAGGCCTACGCAGGACTTCGGAGCAGCTAGATGGGCAGAACTTGGAAACAAAATGAGAGGCAGGAGGCCTGCGGCTCTGCCTGCCTTCAGAAGGAAGTCCTGCCGCCGCGGTCAACTGAGACCACGGAGAGAATCTGCTGTGGTCAGGGGAGAGCCATTCCCCCTCCCTGCAAATCACTCTCATGTTCCCTCCAGCACCTGGACATCCCTGCAACCCAGGCCCCTTCTCGGGGGATGCCCCAAACTTACATGTTGTGCAGGGCACACCAGCCGCAGTGAGGGTCGCCGGAGCTCA